ATCACTCAGTATTATAGACTCTAAGTCCATCCAGGTTGCTGTGAAGTTCATGATTTTGCTATTCTTTATGGCTGTGTAATATTCCATCATGTAAACGTACCACATTTTTTTATTCAGTCCTCTTTCAATGAGCAGCTTGGTTAGTTCCATGTTCTCACTACTGTGAACAATGCTACAATAAACATAGGTGTGCAGGTATCTTTTTTATAGAGTGATTTGAGCTCTTCTGGGTATATTCCCAGTAGTGGGGTTGCGGGGTCCTATGGAAGATCAATTTTTAGATCTTTTAGAAATCACCACACTGTTTTCCACAGAGGCTGTATTAGTTGACACTCCCACCAACAGTGTAGAAGTGTTCCCTTTTCACCATATCCTTTCCAGCATCTGTTGTTTTTTGAGGGGTGTTTTTGGTTTTTTGGGGGGTTTTTTTTTAGTTGGCCAGTGCACTCACTCCGCCACGCAGACTAGAGTGCACTATCTGCTCATGGCCACCACAGCCTCGACCTGCTGGGCTCCAGCAATCCTTCTGCCTCAGCCTTCTAAGTAGCTGGAACTACAGGCATGCGCTACCACACCCGGCTAATTTTTGATTTATTGTACAGATGAGGTCTCACCAAGTTGCCTAAGCGGGTCTCGAACCCGCGAGCTCAGGCAATCCACTCACCTCAGCCTCCCAAGGCGCGGGATTACAGGCTGAGCCACCGAGCCTGGCTGTTTTTTGAATTCTTGTTGATGGCCATCCTGACTGGAGTTAGGTGGTATCTCAGTATAGTTTTAATTTACATTTCTTTGATGACCAGTGAAGCTGAGCAATTTTTCATGTATCTGTTGGTTGCTCATATGTCTTCTTTTGAGAACTGTCTATTCATATCTTTTACCCACTTTGTAATGGGGCTGTTTTTTTTTTTCTTTTTGGCACATTTGAGTTCCTTATAGATCCTAGATGTTAGGCCTTTGTCAGACATACAGTTGACAAATATTTTTCCCCAATATTTGGACTGTCTTCCCACTCTCTGGATGGTTTCTTTGACTTTGCAGAAGCTTGTCAGTTTGATGAGGTCCCACTTGTCTATCTTATCTCTTATGGCATAGGCACTTGGGGTTTTGATCAGAAATTGGTTGCCAGTTCCAATTTCCATAAGGGTGTCTCCTGCATTTTCTAAGCTTCTTATAGTTTGATGCTTTACATTTAGGTCTTGATCCATTTAGAGTTGATTTTTGTGTATGGTGATAGGTAAGCATCTTGTTTTCATCTTCTGCATGTGGTTAACCAGTTTTCCCAGCATCATTTACTAACAGGTTCTCCCCCCAGTGATTGGTGGTGGAGGCTTTGTCGAAGATGATTTGGTTGAAAAATTGAGGTTTTGCTTCTGGAATCTCTATCCTGTTCCATTGGTCTATATGACTATTCTTATACCAATACCGGGCTGTTTTGATTATTGTAGCCTTTTAAATATAGTTTAAAGTCTGGGAGTCTGATACCTCCTGCTTTGTTTTTCTTTGCTGAGGATTGTTTTGAACATTTGTGGTTGTTTATGTTTCCATATGAGTTCCTGTATTGTTTCCAGGTCTAAGAAGAATGCTGCTGGTAACTTAATGGGTATTGCGTTAAATCTGTAGATTACCTTGGGTAGGATGGACATCTTAACAATGTTGATTCTTCCAATCCATGAGCATAGAGTATTTTTTCATTTGTTTGTGCCATCTTTGATTTCTTTGAGCAGTGTTTTGTAGTTTTCAATGTAAAGATCTTTCACGTCTCTGATTAGGAAGATGCCAAGGTATTTGATTTTTTTTTTCTGGCTATTGTAAATGGGATTATGCTTTTTATTTGGGTTTCTGTTTGTTTTTTGTTAGTGACAGAAATGTGACTGTCTTTTGCACATTGATTTTATACCCTGAGACTTTGCCAGTCTTTTATCAGCGCAAAGAGGTTTTTGACAGATTCTATTGGGTTTTCGAGGTACAGAATCATGGCATCTGCAAACAGTGATAACTTGACTTCCTCTTTTCCTATTTGGATACCACTGATCTCCTTCTCTTGTCTGATTGCTCTGGCTAGGACTTCCAAAACTGTGTTGAAAGGGAGGGATGAGAGTGGGCATCCTTGTCTTGTTCCGGTTTTCAGGGGAAATGGTTCCAATTTCTGTCTGTTTAGCAGTATGTTGTCTGTGGGTTTCTCCTAGATGGCTCTTACTATTTTGAGGTATATTCCATTTATGCCTAAATGTTTGAGGGTTTTTATCAAGAAGGGGTGCTGAATTTTATCAAAAGCTTTTTCCGTGTCTAACAGTAATCATGTAGTTTTTGTTTTTACATCTGTTGATGTTTTTAATTACGTTATGGTCTTACGAATATTGAACCAGACCTGCATCCCAGGAATGAAACCTACCTGGTCATGGTGTATGATTTTTGAGATGTGTTGTTGAATTCGATTTGCTAGGATCTTGTTGAGAATTTTAGCATCAGTGTTCATCAAGGATATTGGCCTGTAGTTCTCTTTCTTTGTTGAATCTTTACCTGGCTTGGGCATCAATGTGACGCTAGCTACATAATTAATTAAAATGATTTGGGAAATTTCATCTTTCTCAGTTGCCTGGAATACTTTCAGTAGGATTGGTATCAGTTCTTCCTCGTAAGTTTTGTAGAATTCTGTTGGAAAGCCATCTGGTCCAGAACTTTTTTTGTAGGTAATTTTCTTATGACACAGTCAGATTTCCTGGATTGTTATTGGTCTGTGTAGGGTCTCGATTTCTTCTTGTTTCAACTTGGGACGGTTGTGTGATGTCAGAAAGTTCTCCATTTCCTTTAGGTTTTCACGTTTGTTTCCATATAAGTGTACATAGTAGTCTCTGATAATCTTCTGTATTTCTTTGGGGTTGGCTGTGACTTGACCTTTTGCACTTCTGATTGTGTTTATTTGGGCTTTCTCTCTCTTTTTCTTGGTCAGTCTAGCTAGGGGACCATCAGTCTTGTTTATCCTTTCAAAGAACCAGCTTTTTGTTTCATTATTTTTTTGTATTATCTTTTTGTCTTCTATGTCCCTAATTTGGGCTTTTATTTTGGTGATCTGGATTCTTCTGAAGTTAGGGTTTTGGTGGTCTTGGCTTTTCCAGCTCCCTTAGGTGATTTGTTAGGTTAACTTATGATTTTTCTACTTTCTTCATGTGTGTTTGTAGGGAGATGAAATCTCTTCTTAGTACTGCTTTCATGGCATCCGAGGTTTTGGTAAGATGTTTCTTCATTTTCATTTGTTTCCACGTATCTGTTAATCTCTGTTTTGATTTCCATGTTGACCCAGGAGTTACTTAGCATCATGCTGTTTAGTGTCCGTTTCTTTGTGGGGTTTGGGGGAGCTTTGTTGATATTGATTATTTTTTATTCCACTGTGGTCTGAGAAGGTGCATGGCAGGATTTCAACCTTGTGAAATTTGTGTATGCTTGATTTATGGCCGAGGATGTGGTCGATCTTAGAGTACATTCCATGTGGTGATGAGTAGAATGTATATTCCATGGTTGCTGGGTGGAGTATTCTGTAAGTATCAATTAAGTCCATTTGGTCAAGTGTCACATTGAGGTTCTGGGTCTCCTTGTTGGTTTTTTTGTCTTAATGATCAGTCTAGGGTCATGAGTGAGGTATTTAAGTCCCCAGCTATGATAGTATTAGAGTCAATATCTTTTAAGTTTACATAGAAGCTGCTTTACGAACATTGGTGCTCCTATGTTGGGTGTATATATGGTTAGTATGAATATTTCTTGTTGATGGATTGAACCTTTTATCATTATGTAGTGACCTTCTACACATTTTTTTTTTTTAGTAGCCACTTTATTAAAGTGTAATTCAGATACCATAAAGTTCAATCTTTCACAGTTAGGGATTTTCAGTATGTTGACAAAGTTGTGTGTTGTTAACCACCGATTCCAGAACATTTTCATCAGCCTGGGGAGAAGCTCTGCACCCAAAGCAATCATTCTCCAAGCCCCATCCCCACCCTCTGGCAACCGCTAATTGACTTTCTGTTTTTATTGATTTGCCTATTCTGGATATTTCATATATAGCCATGCCTCACTTGGTAGAGATTCATTCTGAGAAATCCATTGTTAGGCAATTTCATCATTGTTTGAGTATCACAGAACGTACTTACGCAAACCTAGATGGTATAGTCTGCCACACAGTCACTCAGCATGACCCCTTACCAGCAACATCCATGATTTTTTTTTTCTTTTTTTGAGTCAGAGTCTTACTCTGTCACCAAGGCTGAAAGGCAGTGACATGCTCAGGGCCACTGCAGCCCCGACCTGCTGCACTCAAATGATCCTTCCGCTTCAGCCCTCCAAGTAGCTGGGGACTACAGGCACGTGCCACCATGCCTGGCTAATTCTTTTTATTTATTATAGAGATAAGGTCTTGCCATGTTTCCCAGGCTGGTCTCGAACCCATGGGCTCAGGCAATCCTCTCGTCTCAGCCTCCCAAAGTGCTGGGATTACAGGTTTAAGCTACTGCACCTCGCCATCCATGAGTTTTTTATCTTTAGGAGCCATGACGAATAAAACAACAGGTGAGTAAATCAAGCACAAGAGAACATGAGATGTATGAGGCTGCTATCAGCGTGACACACATTATTTTATAGTAAACTTTTTTTATATTAGTAGAATAGTTACATTCTAAAATAGCGGTAAAAATATAATAGAGTAAATATATAAACCAGTAACAGTCGTTTATTGTCATTATCCAGTATTAATGTACTACACACACAGTAATTATATATGCTATACATTTATACAACTAGCAACACTGTAGGTTTGTTTATACCAGCATTACCACAAACATGGCTACAATGTCACTAGATAATAGAAATGTTCAGCTCCATTATAATCTTTTTATTTATTTTTGAGTTGGAGTCTCACTCTGTCATCCAGGCTGGAATGCAGTGTCACACTCATGGCCACTACAGTCTCAACCTGCTGGGCTCAGGTGATCCTTCTGCCTTCCACTCAGGTGATCCCTCAGCCTTCCAGGTAGCTGGAACTACAGGTGCATGCCACCATGCCAAGCTAATTTTTTGATATATTGTAGAGATGAGGTTTCACCAAGTTGTCCTGGCTAGTCTCGAACCCCTCGGCTCAGACAATTTTCTTGCCTCCGCCTCCTAAAGTACTGAGATTATAGGTGTGAGCCACTGCACTCAGCCTTATTTTATTTTTTGTAGTAACAGGATCTTGCTATGTTGCCCAGTCTGGTCTCAAATCCTGGCCCCAAGTGATCCTCCCACCTCAGCCTCCTAAAGTGCTGGATTACAGGCGTGAGCCACCATGCCCAGTTTGAATAGCACAGCAGGTCAAGGCTGCAGTGGCTATGAGCATGCCACTGCACTCCAACCTGGGAGACAGAGTGAGACTTCAACTCAAAAAAAAAAAAAAAAAAAAGACCACTGTTCTTTCCCTGTTGAATTGTCTTGGCATTCTTGTCAGAGGTCAATTGTCTATGAACATGTAGGTTCATTTCTAGACTCACAGATCTTTTTTTTTTTTTTTTTTTGAGTGGGAGTCTCACTCTTGCCCAGCCTGGAGTACAGTGGCCGCTCCCAGCCACCTCAGCCTCGACCTGCTGGGCTCCGGCGATCCTTCCACCTCAGCCTTCCAAGTAGCCGGAATTACAGGCATGTGCTACCATGCCTGGCTGATTTTTTGATTTATTGTAGAGATGAAGTCTCACTGTCCAGGCGGGTCTCGAACCCATGGGCCCAGGCAATCCACTCACCTCAGCCTCCCAAAGGCGCGGGATTACAGGCTGAGCCACCGAGCCCGGCACCTCACATCTTTAAAATAAAATATTTGGACGGGCTC